CAATTGGTCGTCTCTCTGATAGTGGCGCGAGTTTGTATGGCTTGAAGTGGCGAGGTCCAACTTTCGGCTATTGCTTTTGAATCTGACATAGTCCATTGTAGACTGCTTGTAGCTTTGAGAGCGTGAACTTCGAAAGTTGCGAATGTGCAAGACGATACTCGCATTGATTGACTATAGCAGATATCCCAGCAAGCAGGGTCTCGAGCGCCGCGATCAACATTGCATTCTGCCATCTCCTTACTAATTGGATTGTGCTGATGAGTTTTGAGATTCAAAGACAGAATATGATAGCTGGAAACTTGAATATATCTTATGGGGGGCCAATGCAATTTTGTAAGGCTATTGCGGTTGTAGCGCGTGTCGCATGGGTCGATAAATTAGTCTGTCCAAGTTTTAGGACCCCATCGCCAATTGCTCAGGATATGAGCCCATTACTATTCAATAAGCGTATGTCATTGACTGATGCCCGAAAAAAGGCGCTAGTTGGTCAAGAATAACAAATATGGTTATATATCAATAGCGTGTATCGGACCCCTAAATTACACCTTTTAACAACCAACTCTTCGTTCAACGTTCGTCCTCATCTATTCTATCCCTTATTATACCTCCTGTCGATCGCCGCACTTAAGCGATTGCGCAATGTTAGTTGCCCATTGAAACCTTTCATATCAATGCCAAGTTACCAAAGTAGGCCGACATTTACCACGGTTAGATTTAAAGCGCCAATATGATGGCTACGACTTATTTAGTACTGGTCACAGCCGATTGGAAGCTCCATTGACCTTCGCCCACAGCCCCTCTCAAATATGTAGTGCTCCAAGCTATTTATATCTACCTACAGTACAGGCTTATCTCCACGTTATTTGAAGCATGCTGAATCGTAATTTTTAAAGGGTTCATGTACGCTTATGAAGATGCAGAACTGATGTCTGCTTAACTGTGTCTTGCCGACGTGTATGTTTCAGCCTCTTATTACTGGCTGAATGCTTCTCTGTGGAGTTGGCGCCCTCAGATCATGTTGCAACTTATAATGATCTGGGCATTGGCACGAAAAAAGTGAGGTATAGATTTGCGTTGGGTAATTCGTCCTTCGGATGATCATAATTAGCAATTCTAGTCAAATGATGAAAGCCATGAAATGTTGAACTTTTGGCGAAATACTTGGTATCTTGGTACATATCTCAAAAACAACCGCAACTTGTATCTTATCTCATGAGCTATAAGTACTGCTAGCTGGAGATTTTGATGTAACTTCGCCTCTCACACAATAAAAAAAGCGCCCATGCTGCTCTACCTGAAAACAGCCATTTGTTTCGCCCTCATACTCACATCTTCTTTGGTCAGTGAGTTTGATTCAACTTTTAGACCTAAGAACTAACCGAATAACTCCAGGTATTTGGCCTTGTAATTGGTTCTGCCGAGCATATAAGTAGTGTCGGTTGGTCTGATTGCGATCCCGGACGTTGGAGCTGATATAATCAAAGTCACCTGTATTACGCACTCCTCATATCCTGTCCCAGAAATTTCAGCTCTCAAGTGCAAGCCATGGTACGTCTCAGCAGGATTTAACATTGAATTTCTTATCAAACTCATCAGCGCTTGCTACCCACCAATTTCATCGACACCCAACTCAACATCGACGGCGCCACAGACCGTATTAGCTTCACGAAGCGTCATTTGGTACAGTGCGCTAGGCACGAGGATCATACATGTTTCGGACTTCAAATGTAGACTATTCAAGCTGTTTGGCTGGGATTACAGCCAGCGAAGTCTCAAACATCTCCCCCTTTGGAACAAAGACGTGGTAAGAAGGCGCTCCGGGATCTTCTCCAGTTCGCAGATAAATATCAGCTTCACCAGTTTTTTGCATTCCCATTTCAGTATCAGCATGAATCATGTAGTCACGTGGCTGCACGAGAAGCCCAGAAATGGCGCAACAGAACCGAACTTTTAGGGTCTCATGTCAGGACGAGAAATTGATGTACTGGCTATTACTGAACATGTCCAATAGAATCTGTAATTGATTGAAGGTCTGTAGATCGGTTGAGCGATCTCTGGGACCTGCTGTCCGTGCTCTGGTGTTTTACGACACCGTATCCGAAGTTAGTCCGAATACCATACCAATACTTGGGGAAATTGGGTGAAAGATGAACAAGCCTATCCCAAAATCTCATAGCGGTAATTGACCGCTTCCTAAGTTTGACATCTCCTCATATTGTGGCTGAACCACTTTACAGTATCGAGCTCCATATCCTCGACCACTTCATAGATTTGGCCCAATGTGACCTTGTGCGGATGTTTGTATGATAACTATACGATACAAAGCGACGAACCGAGTCGGATGATTGGCTGGGAATGTTTGAGACGTATAATTGATCAGGAACACGACTTTGCTCGAAAGAGTAGTAAAGGATAGGTTCCAGTGCTTGCCTCATGTAACAGGCCCTTCTCAAAGGCTCATTTACCTGTGAATTAAATGGATGTTCGCTTTCTTCTCTTAAGCTCCTGGCTGCCTCTAGAAGAACAGCACTGTTTCAATATGAGGCTGGTGCATATCAGGAAGCAAGCCGCGCCATCCAAATTAGCCCCAAGATGTCTATACAAAGAATCAAGTTCGTTGGAAATCAACGTTGCTCATTCTTGTATAGATAGCCTCATGTTTGCCTCTGAGAAAATATGTCAATTTATACCTCGGAACTACAACAAGCACGCCTTTGCACCAGCTCCTGTGGACGGGACCAACATGAACGAATCTAAAATATTTTTCTCTTTCGAAAATAGTGTAAGCGCTCATACATTAAGCGTACTAGACTAACAAAAAGTCTGCGAAGGAATTCAGACTAATGTGTTCACTCTTTATTGCCGAACCAGCGCGCAAATGCAACAGCCTAAAGCATTCTCAGGAAGATTCGCTGGTTTGTTTAACCTGCCAACTGCCGTATGACGTATACCGCTCACTGTAGGTCTTAATCCGCGATGCGTAGTCACTGTATGGTGAAATCTCTTTGAACAATTGCTAGACTATTTGCGAGTATAATGCAAATGAGTTATTTATTCGCACCGACTGGCAACGCGTCTCTCGAGGCGGCATTGTATCTCCCGAATACCAAGCGGTTAATAGAAATGCCAACCTCGAATAATAGGCATAGAATATTGCATTGAATATGCATTGAATATGCCTTCAAACTTCCTTTGCGAACTTTATTGAGGTCCCGGCAAATGTCCCTGCAGAGGTGAAACGATATGATGAGGAATGCTAGATTCAAAGCCGTTTGACCCAAGCCCAACCGGTTAGCACTGATCAATACGCGTGTAGTACTATATGTTTAAAAATGAAGAAATTCACTTGACCGATGTATGATCGACCAGAGCCTTTTTAGAGGGCTTTGAAACCAATCTGCCACCCCTGGACCGATACGGCCTAGAGCATTATTTCTATATGTACAAATCCAGGATTAGATAAATAAAAGGCATGAGCTGCCTCACTCCATTAAACCACAATCTCATCTTTTACGGTGGGTGTCTACTTGCTTTTGTTGCTAGACAACATCGAATTTCGAGATGGCGTTGGTAGAGGATCGCTTGAAACAGAAACAGAAACAGAAACAGGAGCAGTTGCGGAAGCGCCGTCATAACTTGCTACGCCGTCACAATGATTTCTGGCGCTTGTATTCAATCAAAAGTTGGGTGGTTATGGAGATGCCAAACGGCCGCATCTACACGTACTGTTCTCACCCTGACATTGCAGTCCCAACAAAAGAGGAGATAGTGAGACTTTACTTTATATCTGGCGTTTTGGATGTATGCTTTGCTAATATCTACAGTCTCAACATCCTAATCCTGCGGACCACAAGTCTCCAGCTGACTATGAACCCCCTGACTCGGTCAATGAAATGATACCAAATTTGCCAGCGATCACTGTGTTGGGGCGTTGCAATAAGCTATGGAGTAATTTGTCGCACTTTGTATCCCGATAGCAAATGCCCACATTTTTGAGGAAACTAAGAGCTGCTTTCCATTGTAAAGTATTTGTGCCGAAGTAAAAGCCTCATGCCATAGATGGACTCTGGTCGCGTCTTTCAATTTTAGCGAAGGTTGGAATTCCGGAAAACCCAACGCACAAATAGTATTTCTAGAGCTAGAAAGGGGAACGTGCATTTTTGGCGTGGTTCGATCACTCCTTTGCAATGAAACCAACCACGGTAAATTTGAGTGCCGTTATAATGCGATTTAAATTGACAGCAGTTGATATTCGGCGTGATTGATATTCGGAATGGTTGATATTCGGAGTGGTTGATATTCGAAGTGGTTGATATTCGGAGTGGTTGATATTCGGAGTGATTGATATTCGGAGTGGTTGATATTCGGAGTGGTTGATATTCGGAGTGATTGATATTCGGAATGGTTGATATTCGGAGTGATTGATATTCGGAGTGGTTGATATTCGGAGTGGTTGATATTCGGAGTGGTTGATATTCGGAGGGTTGATATTCGGAGTGGTTGATATTCGGAGTGGTTGATATTCGGAGTGGTTGATATTGAGAGCGGTAAGGTTACTGTTGAACAAAATTGAGGGCGCCCCGTGCCATAGACACGGTCAAATAGCGGTATTATGAGGTGCAGGACTATTCAGGTACTCCAACTGTTACAGCGGTTCATGCTGAGAGGGTGCTTCAGACCAACAGCGGTTGAAATTGGGTGCGAGTAAGCTTATAGGCCCAAAAGCCTACCAGAACCAAGCTGGAATCCGACATCATAGATCGTCGATATTGCCAAAGCGTGCTCTACCTCGCTTTCACGGTGAACCGGCCCTGACTTCTTAGATGGAAGACAGCTTCGATTTCGTATATATAAAGATTGTCCCCAAGAATCTGATGGCCAAAGCTGTCAAGCCCATTCATACTTGTTCTTTTATTTCTTGAGAAGTCCCTTTATTTAAGGGAAATAGCGCTCACCACTGCCAATTTCAAATTTTCGCATACATTTCTTGACAAAACGATATGATAACTGCTAGCTTCAAACCCATACGTGGAAGTGGCTCTCCGTCTCATCGGCATATAAAAAAGACCATCCAGGGGTCCCCCAAGACTTTGCATCTTCCTCAGATTTGCAAAGTAAAAGGGGATATTTCTTCGGTGTTGATTGTGAGGCAAGAGTCGCCCTGGAATAAATACCGACCAGCATTTTTATGCGACATCGCGGGTGAGGTTATCATAGCGACTAATCGTTCCAATCCATCTCGGTTGCAAGCTGTACGACAATATCCCAAAGCGGATGCTGAAAGACTGATTCAACGATTTGGCTACCTTGATCATGTCAATATCCTTTCGTCTCGAGACTGCTACATAGACTCAAACTCCATATATGTTTTTGTGGATGATTTTCCGCTCACTATGTCGAATATCGTTTCTTCTCCTGGTATATATCCTACGGATACAGAGCTGGCTGCAATCATGTCGCAGGTACGTCTCATTGGGTCCAAATTTTCTGATAGTCTAACAAAAAAGGTCCTCGACGGTTTATGCTATCTCAGGAGGTTTGGTCTCTCATATCGATCATTTTCGTGCCAAAAGATTCTGCTAGGCACAGATGGCAGAGTAAAGATTGGTTGGTCCTAGACTATTTCGAGTAAAAATGCTGCTGATAACCTTTCACAGCCTGCTTGGATCAATGTACAGAATTATCGCCCATGGAGAGCCATAGAATTTACTTTAAGGCTATTCCAAGTGTTCTGATGGCGCTTATGCAAAAGCACGAAAAGGATGGAGGGATTACCGGAGTCGAAGATTTAGATCGGTGGCCGGTCGACTCAGACGCTTTTGCGTTTTTAGCAGCAGCCTCAACTGAAACCATCGATTCATTGAAAATGGTGAAACCTTCTGTATCTGACATATCGCATTCACTGGACATGACTGAAGCTTTCCAGCACCCTCTTATCACAGCAAGATTTCAATCCACTGAGGACCTTGTCATGCTCGCGCGACATGCCTTGTGTGCCGGGGTCGCTACAAGTAGGTGTTATGTAGCGCCACAACGCTAGCTAAACCTCTTTTGCTGCCTGGATACACGTATATTCCCTAGGTTATAAGGGAAACCGAGTTCTGGATTTAATTTTCAATTAACTTTCAAGTGGCCCTTTGAGAAGCTTATCGTCGTATAAGACTCGCTAGTTAGGTTCGAAAATATCAGCCCCAGCAGACCATTCGAGGCTGGAGCATCTTACGCACACATTAAGCTTAATAATAACCCCAAGGATAAGGGTCAGCCTCCGGGCGGGCTGAAACTCATTATCGTGAACGAGGCAGGATCCTGAATACGGGCATTTACCATTATGGGTAACGAGATTTTAGGTAGCTATGACTTTATCCTCCAGCAATCAAGTGAAGCTCTCATTCTGATATTTGGTAATCCTCAAGCAGCTCTACGGTATTAGATCAAATAATCATGCTTTTCGGTGTTTCTTGTAACGTGTATATCGTTTGCCAGGGAGCATAGTAGATGGGAGTACTATCGCTACGGTATCTAAATATTTTTGCCAATTATGGAGTAGTCCCGTCAATTATTCCTGTAGGTCGGTAGATTCATCAATAATGTCTTGGAATTTAGATTATGATCAAAATCTATGTAAATCATTTCATATGTTTCGTAGCCGTTGCAGTTTTTGAAAATTTATTGACAAGAATCATTCAACGACTATTCACAGCCGTTCGTGGATCAAATCCAGCGCGTGGTATGGTTGACGCGTGAGACTTTCCACTGTCGTTTCCATATCTGCTCGGCCCGGGCTTCTCGAATTCTGGACTGCTCCAGAGCAACACGAAGTTTGCGGTCTGCTTGAAACACCCGTTCATTTTCAAGCGGTTCTGCCTCTGGCTCGAAGTGATACTGCAACATCAACTCTTGTGAAACTTCAATAATCGCCCTTGTCAAATTGAGAAAATTTTGGAAACAAGACCGATAAAAGTCGTTCTCATTCTCTTGTTGGTCGCGCTGACAAATCCTTTCCTCCTTCAGCTCTTGAAGTGACAAGTGATTACCTGACTTTGAGCACTTCAGACGTGTTCGGGTAGTTTCCAACGCCATGGTAGAACCTCGGGCCAGTGCAATCTGATGATCTAGAGAATTTATTTCCGGAAGATCGTGTCGAATAGGAAGTATCATTGGCATCAAATTCAACATGCTTTTCGGAGATTCTGGTGAGCGACTGTAAATGCTTGAGGCATTATCTGTAGATGGATGTCGCGCAGTCGCTTTCAATGACATTTTTAGTAGCTGCATATCTCCTCTTGGTACCTCGACTGTCTTATATATGTCCAAAGCACCAATCCCTGAGTGGCGTTCTTTTCTGCGGCGGTTGCTGAATTCTTTCAAATTCCCGCCTGTAAAGGCTAAGACCAAACCAGTGTCAAATTCCTGCGGGTCGCTCACTTTGACAAAGTTGTATTTTCACAATGCTTTTCACTGTACAATATGGCGGAACACTGATATTCGGGTTTATTCTTATTTCTGCGGCCTAGTTGAGAAAAATGTTATGAAAATGGGTAAAAGATGAGCGACAAATGGCGCGAAGTTTTGCTATCGACATCGGAACAACCCCCCCCCCCTCCTACTTTCCCATGCTTCCAAACCGAACGTAAGAGCTTACTGAAAGTCAGACTTGCAACAGTGAGTAATTTATTATAGATTGGACACCAGCTAACGAGAATAGATATTGACCGGTCAGATACAGGAGGGAAAATACAATGTGTTCGATCTTTAGCAAATGTATTATAATAGTTTATAGTCGCCGCTTCTTGTGTATCACGGCAGGCTCCAAGAATTTGATTTGACGTTTGAGCCGTGGGGAACAGTAGCAATCCCTTTTCGGGGGCCAGGAAGCAACCAAGTGGTCTAAACGACCGAAGCGGGAATTTGCTTGCTGATCATCGAGGAGCTCTTGCATGGATTTTGGAAAGCCGCCAATCTTTTGAAAGAATGAACAACCGGCAATCCCAATTGATGTCATTTCATGAAGTCCATTGATTGAAAATGTCACCTTTTTGCGGTAGTACCCACATACATGACAACCATCATTTTGGTCTACGTTTCCAAGGTGGTGGCCTCGGACTGTTTCAAACCTTGCGCCTGGAAATTCAACCATGATCAGCTTTACCAGGTCCCTGGAATATGATCGTGAGCACAAAATTGAGCCTTCACAAAAGAATTCTCCTTGTCTTTTGGTTGGCAACTCATCGAGTTCGAAGAAGAAAAATGCGGTCGCTAGGGTGGCTCTCACTAGTTCAGTCGGAACAGTGTATTGCATTCTGGACATTTCTTCTAATCTGCTCACGTCATCCAAGCGAGGAAGAGGTTCGGTCAGCTCGTGATTCAGCCGAAATATGTTTGACCTTTCACCATCTGGCACGAAATTGAGTGCCTCACGAAATCCTTGCTCCCCATCCATACACGGGGAGGACATTGTTGCTCGAATCATGCGTGGGATGGCACTGTCTTGCCATATACCCCTGGTAGCCTCGCTTGTTTTAGCCATAGAAGAATATGACCCTGTCCCGACTGACAAGAGTAGATCATGGGTTTTTGCTGAAGGCCAGATGACCATAGACTCCTTCAGCGCAATTCCCACGGGATTGTTGGCACGGACTCCGCCATCCTGCAGCGATCCAAATCCTAGAAGAGTTTTTTTTCGAAACAAGCTGCTTGTCATTAGCCACCATCTTCCAAGCTATAGGTATACTTACGCAGGGACTGCAACACTGCATTCAGCTCTATGAGATTTATTCATCAGCTCTCTTCGTTGTTCCGAAGAATAATACATCGGACAAATAGCAGTTCAACGCAACTCACACCTGACATATGTGAGGATTCTCATCCGCCGTCTTAGGGATAAGGAAGTGATATGCTGCATTCACTTCTCGCTGGCCCATTCCACGATAATTTGCCAAAACACAAGCTTTCCCATCGGAAGTGCGACTCGTTATGATGGCGACTCGACAACCGGTGGAGCTTGTCGTCGTCGTCGCGTCAAACAACCGGCGTTGGGGGTCGACCACCTTTTGCAAGATATCTCCCAGTATTTTTGAGTCATACTGGCAATCGGCCAAGATCCCTGCGATATTCTTTATCCATGTAGCACACCGATATAGTTGGGAATTTGGTGCATGTTTAGTAGGAGATCCGAAAATCCTATGCGCAATTGCCGGAAATTTCGCGCAGCTCTCCTTCGCGGATAAGCCATTTAGAACCATATCCAGTTCTGAAAGCGCCCCTGTTCAACGGTCAGTATATTTCATTCAAAGGTGTAGTCTGTACAATAAGAATTGGACGCTCACCAACACTTGTCCCAGCAAATAAGTCAGCGACCTGTGTTATCGATATTCCACCAATACGTTTTTCTAGTGCTCGCAGCAGCCCTAACTGAATGATACCGCGAATACCTCCCCCATCTAGACTTATCACGATCGGCCCCTTAGTTGGTGGAAGTTGACGAATCGTGAGATTCACTGCCTCCTCACAGATAGGGCATTCCGGTAGATTGATATGGTACTCGGCGTAGGAACTTTTAGACCCATATATAACAACGCAATTGTCGCAGATTGCATGCCTGCAAGGCAGCATATGCTCTGGTGGACCACACATGCAAATAAAGCAAGTTGTTGTTGAGTGCAACCCTCCCCATCCACGATGAAATTGTACAAGCGATTCGTGACGAATTTCCGCCGATGTCTTGGACATCAATTCGGAGAAACTCTTGATGAAGCAATGTAAAATTTGATCGCAAATGAATGAAGGGTTCTCCCCCTCCCAGGCATTCCAACAACGCGCCCGATAGAGGGCATTGAACACCAGCTTCGGTTCAAAAACTATAACTCAAGAGGATTAGTGATAACTTACACAAAGTTTCTGCGGGGTCAAGGAGTAATTTCATTGATGTAGAAGTTGCTTACGATGCATTCCGGGTGGATAGGCATCCAGAAGAAGAGCCGAGGCGATAAAGCTGTAAAGCTCATTCTCGGAGGAAACAGAACTTGCAACCTGCGTTTTCAACTCTAGGAGGCAATCAATATTTGTTGTTTTCCTTTTAAAGCCCTCTCGTGCCACCAAAAGGCAGTCAAGATTAGCTGGACTTGGACTTCCTATTTGAAGTTGAAGACCTCGATCCCAGAGTGCGTTGAGATGCACAGCTGAGAATAAGAGGCATTTTTCTTTTTGTAAGGCTCGAATCTCTTGAATTTCGTCAAAAATAAGGCTTCTCAACGGGTCGAATGTAACGGACGGAGACATTTCTGCTCGGTCGCGGAGATCCAAAATTGTGACTTTGCGCTGCGCTAACCATGCATTGGATAATTCAAAGTCGTCATCCGGGCTCTGTACTTCAAATTGAGAATTGCCTGATAGCACAATAAGCACACGCATCATACTATGAATATGTGAAGCCCCGATCGATAGGGTCCCAATCGGTGCATCTAACAGCTGTTGTACATTTCGCATCTCAGAGATGGTGTCAACAAAGAAACAAAGAACCTGCGTCCATGGTAATATCTTCTGTGTAATCACTTCTTGTTGAAGTTCTGCTAGAGACTGAGACTCCCCGACGTTAAGTGCATATCTTCGATGTCTGTCTTCAGACCACCTAAGCAAGCGTGTGTCACTCAACCCAGCATGACTAAAAGGGTTACTTTCGGTAAATATGACAGGGTATTCAGTATGGGCAGTCGCTGTACTAAGATGTGCTCGAAGGAGTCCAGAAGGTCCTTTGCGCGTGATGTTATTGCGAGGAAACAAAGCTTGCAGAGCTTTGATACGATTTCCATTGCCAGCGAAATAGACAAGAGAAGGGTATTGCGAGTCTGGGTGGCTCATCCCCTGAACAATTTCTTCAAATCGCCCAGTATCTACCAATGACCTGCCTGTGCTGTCAAAGAGGATATCGAGCAGCGCTGCCATATTTATCTTCTATGCTTCGCTGAAAAGATGGCTTTCTGAGAGAGCTGGTGCTTTTATATCCTTGGTTTCCATCTTGTCTAATTTTTTTGAGGATGTCCTCCCATCACTTACTTGATAAATCCATCTGACAGTTCCAATATAGCGACGAATGATTTGGACCTCATATTATTCCAGCATAATTTTCAGAAATCAGAACAATTCCCTGTTATTAATGGGCCCACGCATAAGCTACATGAGGTAGGTCAAGCCAGTGTCCCATCAGAATATCAATACCGATAGTTTTTTCTCTGGTCAAGGGTTAGCTTAGTTCGAGGCTATAATTCAACTCCGGGTCACATCGGCACTTCCAATTTTTTGCGGTCTCACTCTCGTGCTCGGCTATCTACACCATGCGCTCCACTTTATGCGGTATCCCTTTGATTCGCGATGGCCAAGACAAAAATGAGCAGTCAATCCTCTCCAGGGATACCATAACAGCTAATATAAAAGAACTGCCTTTCCCCTTCGTCTTTCAACTATTTTAAAATACTTTCACACCTCAAATCTTGTTCGTGGGCTATGCAGTTCGGTATATCAAAGAGTCTGAGAAGGCGAGCGGGGCATGCTCAGCCTGATTCAGCTCAAGACATACAACTTGCAAACAACACATTCAGCCATGATACGACTTATACAACAATGCTAAAGGAAGATGCACAGATGGATTGGAAATACAATGTCTCTGTTAGCATTGCAAATTGGGCCCTGCTTGCTGGATACTTGGTAATTCCCGGAACATTTACTTCCCTGAAAGAATCAAACCAGGTAGAGGAAATTCTGAACAGCAACACCACTGGGCGGAATATACTACACACTATACAGAACCCGCCTTTGCTAGTGGTTTCTTGCTTATTTCTTGCCAGTGGAGCCGCTGCATTGACCGTGCTTTTCCGAAAACTTCAAAACAACTACGTATGGCTCATCAACAAGATCTTCATGTAAAACTTATCAAAAAGAGGGGCTATGAATCTTCTATTGACAGGACTACAGACCAGCTGCATTGAATGCAGCCGCTGGGCTTCTCACCACGCTCGTCAACATTTACACATCCCGATCAGGCCACTGGTCTGTAATGGCCATTGTTACAATCGTCGTGACTGCTGTTCTCATGATAGTATTCTCTCTCTTATTTACTTACTATAAGTTCGTCAAATTGAGAAGAGTGATAGCAGAAGACGAGAAGGGACTTGAACACCAGAATTCTTCACGGGAGCCATCGCCTGTACTTCATCATGTGGACGCCAATGAAACCGTGCATCCACTGACAAACTAAGTATAGCTGTACTTAACTGGTACTATGTAGAATATTTGTCCCTAATAAATCAAGATAAATGCAGCATGTACCAGGAAAATCTATATGTCTTTCTTGTTTCAAAACTTGTTTTTTCGTTGTCAGGCCTCAATATAACTACATTCGGAGCCTACGCAGTGAGTTTTCTTGCAACTAGGCGATATCTGACCTGTAAATCAGCTTCCAGCGGTGATAGATAAGTGCATTGTTGTTTTACATGCTGACTAGATAAATAAAGATCTTTCCCTGTGATAAGAGATGGTGTATTAGAGCTGAACGAAGGCCCCTTTCTCTGATTTTCTCAGGTTGTTACAATTATCCAGCTATGAGCTTTCGCTTTTGCTCTATGCATATAAAGTAGGTTAGTTGATTGGTTTCTTTGTTGGATTAATGTCATTTACCCTTACCTCTCGCTATGCGCATACTGTATATTTTTGAATCATGGAAATGCTTCCTGGGAGGGTAATGTCTTAAAAATTCCAGCAGGCAAATTGAAAATAATGTTGGTTGAAAAAAAAGGTCATTATATTACTGCACTCTTTGTGTTAACTGATGTATGCCGAAACACTCCTTATAGATAGCAAATCGAATGCCTCCACTTCCCTGTTGATTTTAGTCCTATAAAAGCCCTGTCTAAACCACTGATTGTGTATTATGCATTTTTTTACTTTCCCGTTCTCTAAATTTGCCGAAGTTCAATGACAGTGTTCATTCTGAGAATCAATAAAGAGAAGCAAAATGGAAACAAGTTAAAACATATTCGAAGCAAACTTCACCCATCGCCAGCGATGTGAATGGAAATTGCTTACAATAGCTCTACAATACAGCCATGATGATTGGGTGAATAACTCTAGATACAGAAATCTTCGGTCGTCGTCGTCTCGGCCCTAGATATCCATGTCCATATCATCTTCTACAACGTAGCCTTTCTTCCTCAACTCGTTCACATAAACAAATGCAGCAGCTTCGAATCTCGCAAAGTATGCATCGTCAAGGTTTTTGAGATCTGTTGCTTCAATGTCTGCCCTTCTCAACCATTTCTTATAGAATTTGCTGATTTTTGGTGGAGGCGGATTTAGACCAGATGCGCTGCTTGTGTCGTTATTCAAGCGATTGCTGTACTGGACATTGGAGTTCTGACCATTGGCGCTCTCATTATTGGCGTTTTGACTACTCGAGCTCTGACCATCGGCACTAGAGTTATCGACGAACAGGTCGTTGTCCTCATCTAGTTCTTGCTTTACATAAGCTGTAGCAGACTTGTGGTTGTTTTGCGTCCTTGGTTGTTCATCTCGATGAGTCCGCACTTCTGGGTACTGCTCTAAACTCTCTGGAATCGGCATGGAAGGCTGTCGCGTATTCTCGCGCTTTATTCTCTCTGCTTTTTGTGCTTTGAAATCATCTAGTGGACAGGGGCTGGGTGAGCGATCAGGGCTATCTCTTCCTTTTTGCCCTTGCCAGTGGTTGTAGCGTTCCTCTTGCTTATCCCAAGCTTCCGAGATCTTTTGCTCTGCTGTTGCCAAGTCAGTAAGTCTAACCAGATCTGTTTTGGTAATCCAGCAGGTGTTATTAGTCAACATCCATTGGTGTGCAGCATCAATTCCTTCCCATTTGACTTTGATATAGGCTGTAGGGGCCTTCTTGGGTTCCTTGTTTGTGTAATTAGTTTCCTGGAATGCCACACCGACAATTCCGACGACGTTGTTCCTGCTGTACCGATAATGGTCTTCACTGTTCTCCCCCTCGTACATAACATGCGAAATTCGCGTCTTGAGGCTCGACACTTTCTGCAAATCTTTGGTATTGTAACCATTTGAAGACTGAACTCGGTATTTTGCCGCTTTGTAGGGCCCATATCGAACCAGCAATACGACTGATCGTCCTAGACGGCTCCAGGCGTCTGGCTCTCCATCATGATCGCGACCAATGGACAACTTCTTCAAATCAACCAAGACTTCATCCTGGGAGTCATTGATACCGACAGCAGTGGGACTATGGGGCTCAGCCCCGTTTGCAGCGATATGATCCGATTGTGAGCTGGTCGAAGAAGAATCCGATGCTTCTCTTTCAGGTTCACGATCTGGCATTGGTTGGTCAATTGGTTCTTCCGCAACGGCTTCGCTCGAGCCTTCAGGCCTCTGCTGCTCCTCCTGAGGGCTATACGAAGGTTTAGACTGTGGTTGAACAGACGGGCTCTGACTGTCTGTATGGGCATCTTTTTTTTTGAGAGAATTTGACTTGGTGTGCGAGCCTTGCAGGCCTGCTGCTGCAGCGTTGGCTTGAGAACTACTTCCACCTTCACTTCGTCTTTGAAGCGAATTTTCATTATAATCAATGGTTGGCAAATTTCTCCGATTGCGTTCTGGCACTCCATCTGCTCTTGAGGAAGACATGGCTTAATGCAGCTGAGAATTTTCTCAAATGGATAGTACGAAGAGAACCGGCGACCCATAGCTATTTATGTTCCGTGATGCCATAGATATTTCGGCTTATTACCCTTCATTTCTATCATTTTGCTCTAAATATACCACAATCGCCCGAGATGCAGCTATAAGAGGTTTTTAGCCCTGGATTTACTGAATATCACCTGAGCTGCAGTCATCGCGGCATTTCACATATGAAACATAAACAAGTTAATTATCGTGCTGGTTGTTTTCATAACATTGTACCAAGAATTAGCCTTGACTCTCTTAACCACCCTCTCTTAACCACCCTCTCTTAACCACCCTCTCTTAACCACCCTCTCTTAACCACCCTCTCTTAACCACCCTCTCTTAACCACCCTCTCTTGACCACCCTCTCTTGACCACCCTCTTGGACCTTTCCTTACGATGGTGAATGCTATTTGTAAAACGTTGCGTGATGTCTTTCTTTCTCCTTTCTGGTATCCTTTTCTCGGTTGCGTGAGGTAGGATCGGACAAGCCACCCAGATTGAAGCACCTGCTTCATCCATGCTTCTCGGCTTAAAACCCCAGCTTTCCCACGCCATCATCCAAGAATTCCACGACCCACAACCTAATGGCAGACCCCAAAGCGCAGTCCTTGCGCGACTTCGCCATCCTCACCATAATCAATGTCTTTGGGCTATTGTACTTTTACCTGTTTGTGATTCATTTCCTGCTCTTCTATTTCCCCTCATCGCCAGACCGAATTCTGGACTCGTTGTCTGTGTTGGCGTTTTGCGCAGGGGTCATCATCTGGTGCTTGTCCAGCCTCTTCTATCGCTTTCTAGATGCTTTCCGGGGCAACGATGCGGCAGAGTGGCAACATCTGGAGTTTGGTGCCATTTTAGTTCTAATCTGGACATCCACCCTTCCTGCCGCGGTGGTGCTATTCCGGAATGAGCCCTCTCTCCGGCTTGGATACCTATCTGCCATTACCGTCGTTGCTGTCGGGATTCTGGTGGACTTTGTGGTCTACGATTCCAGTGCCAGGGCAGCGCAGAACCGGTTTCCGTACAGCTGCATTTCACTGGGCTTGCTTTCGCTAATACCAGCCATTTATGCCCTGACTGGGACGTTCCAAAGCCCGCCTGCATTGGCGGTACAGTTCAGCCGACTCGCCCTCGGGAATATACTTGGCACTACGTTCTATCTGCTGCGTCCCTTGGAGAGGCTTGGTCTGGTGAATGGCTGGCGGCCCAGTCTCTATGTGATGCATATCGTCCTGGCTTACAACGCGGTTTCATATTCGAGATACCTCTTACCCGCAGTGCTTCAAGGTCAAGTATGAGGTGGATTCTAGCAAAATCGTGACGCTGTACAACGTTGGGTGATCCTCTACACTAGAGCGAAGTGGAGCGAAATAGTTGATCATGGCTACTGCGCCTCTTATATCGCTCGTTACCTTGGGCTCCTTTCCTTGTCGGTATAAATAGACTACATTCCTGTTACTGGAATCTGAAACGGTTAACCCGTTCTATTGGATTGCAATGTACTGTGATAGCGGAGATCTTGTGTACCAAGGATCCGTTGCGTTTTGTATATATCTCGAACACACATACTGTTGCATTTTCTGAATCAAGCAGTTATTTTATATATTCGTACCGCTTTTGTAGTTTTGCTATAAGTATGATTTTCTTCTCCCTTGCCGTGATGATAATCTATTCCTATTCAACGGCGATAGATGTGAGGGGCTCCTAGCTCCCAGTGCTTTGTCGTAGTGACAAGCTTGTGCAATCTCAATCGTGGTGAACGCTCAGTGCTCAAATTGCTTTCTTCAACACAAAAGACCATGTTCCACTTCTACTTTCAGTCTGTGTAACGCTCCGATGAAACTGACAGGCAAAGACTGCCCGCCAGGACTTAGTCACTCGGCGGCAGCATTTTTCCTATTTTGTAGGGAATGGCCCTTGGCTCAATGCGTGCCCTTGGATGAAGTTACAGTTAATTTCCACTTCGACCATGACTGACCGTTTCGACCGTGATTGACTGTTTCGATCGTGATTGACTGTCGACCGCGACTGACTGTTTCAACCGTGATCGACCGTTTCGACCGTTTCGACCATGATTGACCGTCGACCGCGACTGACCGTCAACCGCGACCTGGTCCGTGCCCACATGAACCGTGCCCCGACATCTCATCAGTGCTGCACCTCTGAACGTTCTTCTTGTCTGTAACGAACAGTGACCACTTGGTTGACCGATTTGATTATGTTCTGATTGCTACTTCGGTGGAGATACCATGGCCACCGTCGTGATCATTCCGTGGGTTGCCGCTCTTCAGGTGCATCTGTCAGCCGGGCAGTGCGCTTCAGAAGATATGACAACCTGCGATTCAAGAGCGGTTACGGTCCTGGCGGTCAGCCTGTTTGTCGGAAACCGGATGGAATAGGTTGTCATCCAACGTGATGCATGCATGACCCTCGGGTTTGAAAGGTATTCTGCGCATGTCTGGGCAACATGGCTGGATGCTCAGATATATGCGTGGCTATAAACCTCTCGCTGTCCTGGACAGTTGGAGTGAAGTGAGCAGAGTACAATGCTGGAGACCTTGCCAAGTGAGATTCTCATGCTGATCGCAGATTGGGTAAGTGCCAATGTGTTTGATGTTTTGATCTAAGTATTGACCCCCCCCCCCCCCAGCTGCCAACCACCACCCTGCGTATTCTCAGCCGAGCCTCGTCCAGACTGTATGCGGTTTTGGTCCCTCGGATCTACCGTATTATTTCATTCCGTGCAGCTAGTGAGTGGGCGCTGAATGTGTTGGATGTTGACCCCTTCTTTCGCAACTTTGGTCCTTCACGGGCCGCGGACTATCTCCAGCATGCGCGGCACCTACAGATCAAGGCCCCTTTTCACCTAGTCCGGTTTAATCGATGTGCATACTACAATATATTCCGTGCGGCCGGGCTGCCAAATTCACCGACTACACTGGGTTCCTCGGACGAGGCGACGGCACATGGGCAATTTCTCGACGACGTGAGGGATCAGTTGCAGCTGCTATTCACCCACTTGAAGCCGAATCGACTGAGTACATTTGAGTCCGTATAGACCGGCACCCATCCGTCGAGACCTGCGATTGACGAGCAATAGATGGCGACTAGGGACATGTGTTCCGGTAGGAGTTCTCGACCAGGAAGGCTATCTCAGTCGGTACCAGCAGCGCCTCACTCGCCTCTCACTCGTCACTGACGGGACCTGTCCTGAAACTGTGCACCATTTGGAAGGCGTGTCTAGATTTTCCTGTCTGACGATGTTTGCATGGGAAGGACTCCAACATCCGTCCGAGGTTGCTTTGCTGCGACAGTGCATCCGTCAGAACTGGTGCCACCTGGATCATCTGTGCATTGGATTTGTGCCATCTGCGTTCGCCCGTTCTCTGTGCTGGGAAAGTCTTGGGCTTCAAAAATCGGAGCTCGAGGTCAGTGGTATCGGGACCGGCCGCGCACGGAACGAGGATCTGGGGATTGGGAATTTGGCCACGCTTCCCGCTCTGTCCACGCTGTCACTGTCAAAGGTGACCCTGCCTCCGGATATCTCATCGGAGCATCATGAGATATTCTGGTCCCTGCGAGCGCTCACGCTGCGGGACTGTCCGAATCAGCTGCGTCTCGTACAACTATTGTCTCGGTCGCAAAAGCCGCTCCAGCTGACGCATTTGGAATTCTCTTTTGATTACCTGCTCCACGAATCGGGCGAGGGACGTGGCCTCTCTGCGATTGTGCGATTCTTGTGTTCGTTCCGTGGGCTGCAACATCTGCATCTGAAGTTATCCAACTTCCCGGCATCAAAATCCGACATCCAGGACGCAATCCGACACCACCAGTCTACGTTGAAAAGCCTTGTCTATCATGAGCGCCAACTCGCTCCCATCGACGCTGATGGCTTGTTTGAGGATGATCGGGATGTGTCGCCCGCATGGATCACAAACCTGTCTGCCATCGTAGACCTTGGCCAGCTGTCTGCTCTGGCGCTGTGCGCTAGTCCATCTGTGGCTGTAAGTCTTCCTCGGTCCACTTGACGTGTGCATACTAACAGAAATAGCGGCGGTGCCTTCAACCTATGGCGAAGCAATCCCAGCTTCAGATCTTACATCTGCGGTTCAGCGGCCTCGAACGAATCCACCGAGACATCCCACGAGAAATTACCACCTTTCTACATGAGATGTGCAAAGAATATTCTCGGCGTCCTCGTTCGTGGCCGGGTTCCATGAACTGGAATGCCCCCATTGATGACAACTGCGATCTCAGTTTTGATGAGTACTTTGACAGGTCACAACTCGAGTATCTAGACCCGCAGGAGGCAGTCCTTGCGTCTTCTGCAGCGATTGCAGAGGCCGAGGATTTTGTGTCATTTGCCGACTGGGCATTTGGCCCCGACGGACTGCCGGCTCTGCAGGTCCTCGCGTTTGGAGACTTCTCCCACGGTGATCGATACAGGGACCAGCAGTTTTTGATACGCCGTAACTGTTCTTCATGCGACTGTGATGGCAAGGGACGTGCCGGCCTTGCATGCGACGACACGACGAGACTGCCCTTCTGTGTGGCCAATATGAAGGACCCTTCCATTTGGGACGGTGCTGTGGTGGATGGAGCTCGTTTTCTCTCAGCGTGCCCAGGGGGCGGGCTGATGGAGTCACCCTACGAGCTGTAGATTTGGATTGTCGCTTTCTGGATTTTCCTCCATGGTTCGCAACGGACTGCTACGCGTTGCAACGCGTTCTATGGTGGGAATTTGGTCAAAGAAAGTTGTAAATTCCGGTCATGGTCTGTTTTACGAGAAACTATCGAGCTGTGGCTTTTGAATTCAAGCCAACGAGTCCACAGTAGGCGTATGGAACTTGTAAACGGCGGACCTGTGAATTACTGTATCCGGTTAGTTTTGCCTTTTCCGGCTTAGCACCGCAATACGCTGTTTTGTAACCTTCTCCCTGTGCCGCCTTGACATAAAGACGCGATCGCGCACTTTCGCCCTCTGCTTCCCTTCTTCCCCTCCCTCCAAGCCCTCTATCTTGCACTCATCGCCGCCCCCTTTCTTTTACTCTGCCCCCACCGACTACTGCGCATTTGCTTTCAGCCCGACGCACTGCCCCTTTCGTTTTCACCGGAGATGCCGCTCGACCCGACACCCAGCTTGCAATGCCTGTCACCCAGGACCGTAACCCCTGGGATGATACGGCATCCTGTTCTTTCGTATCGATAATCCTACTCCTTCCCTAAGGTAGTGATTGAGCACCATGCTACGAAGATATCTAGGTCTCCCTCTGCCAGTGCGCCTTTCCGTCTCTGATGACCGCGGACCTCCTTCACATCTGCAAAGTGCCGGTATACCCTCGAAGCTGAATATCCCTCTCCGGTAGCCCCACCTGAGGTTGCATTACACAGCCCGGCTTCGCAGAATGGCTCCCGGTTGCCTGGCCAAGCACCCAGTTGTCAGTCTCTCCGGTTTCTCTCCACCCTGTCGGTGAAAACTCGAAATGACAGCTCAGTCATGTGGGCCAATAGCGAAAATGCCGCACACGCCCTGAGCCTTGATCGATGCTGCATCTTATGGTCAATGCGAGACTGCAACTGCGAAAACCATATCATGGTCACCTTCCGAACGGAGAAACAGCTAAGAACGGGCAGATGACTATCATGGGCATGCGCTGCGAGGGCCATCGGCGAGCGTAGCGGGAATTGTTGCCTGGAAGATGCATTGCACCTCATATCTTACTTCTCGGTATGGACCTGTCTTGTTTTCAGCCTCTGCCCCACACTGGCGTCCTTGGTTGCAATGGGTTGGATTGCAGGTTCTGGTTGAGATTGTCTACGCTTAATAGAAGAAGAATTCCACCTCCCGGGCCTACGTCACCGTCTACTGTTATGGCTGGCCAGCGTCCTCAAGCTGCCGATTCTGGAAATCACATCCAGACTGGAAACCTTCCAGGCAATGAAATGATCCATCCCGCAAATCCCCCATTCCCGAACGATTATGACTAGTGGATGCTTTCCCGTATATCATCTCTGGAGACACGAGAATCGTGCGAGCGGCGCTGGAGTGCAGAAGGATTGTCGTTATCTATGGGCAAGCCAATCATTTGATTTCCATTCCTCAGCTAGCTGGAACGTTCAACCGCTATTCCAGTCACCTTCGTGGTTGCCCGGTGCAGTTGTTCTCGCTGCCTCTAGTCTCGCAACAGCTCCAGTTCGTCGAGTATGGGATACTCAACAGGCGGGATCCATTGGGATTCCATATCAATGAGTTATACCTGATATGGTTGGGACGTTTGGTACAGCAACGGGGGGTTTTTCGTGGTAGGCTCGCGGACAGTATTAAATGGCGGTGATTCTTAAGGCTGATTGTAGCAGTCCACTCCGTTCTCACTTCTCTTTACATTATCTCCCAGTTCCCTCCCCGTCCTACTTCCCTTCACTACAATGACGACTTATGTTGACGACTTATGTTCTTTGCAATCCTGACGGCGCAATTGATGGATTCTTCAACTCGAACACTACTGTAACAGACAGCAATGCGATGAATTGGCCATTTCTCGCGCTGGCGGTGTGTCCACTGCTTTGCAGATGCAAGGAGTGTGCAGTTATACCGTGACAGCGGGGCCCAAGCTCTTCCAGTTCCGAGATGAGAACTCTACCATTGATATGGGTAACATTACCCTTGCCAAAGGAATTCATCCCGAATTTGTGGCTAGCTGCACCATGGGCGATTCGCGGCCATTCTATATCAACGAGATGGAGCATCTTCCTGGGACTGCGCGCATAATGGCACGAGTTCCTCGATCTGTCCCGACGGTGTAACACTATCAAGGGCTTCGCAAGGTATGCCTAGCAAAGTTTTTGCTTCATTTTAAAAGAACTAACATTTTAGAACTTGTTCTTCACAGTCATGGAACGCGATCTACGGTCATGCTCAGATGAAACCGCGACCTTGCTTATGGAGTTCCAATCAAATTATGACCTTCTTGCTCGAAAGCTGCCGTATCGCTTTGCACCAAACCTGGAAAGGGTCCGCAAGGAGCTCCCGTCACTCATCTCAAAAGCCTTCCCTTTTGTCCTTAGCCACGGTGACGTCAATCCGAAAACCGGAAATATCACAGGGATTATCGACTGGGCTGAATCAAGGATTCTGCTATTCGGATTCGCGCTATATGGGCTCGAGAAATTTTTGGGCCGGACGGATTCAGAAGTGTGGCACTACTACGATCGCTACTGCGCACTCGAGAGCCTATTCTGGCAAACCTTTCGATAGGAGGCTCATAATTTCTCTGGCGCTGATTTGTATGTGATCCGCGCTGCGGGGATGGCTGGATTTTTCTGCCATAATGGAACTAATTTTTGACACGAAAGGCGTGGTGCGACGTGTGCGGATGGGCCAGCCGGATGGTTCGCTCGCATATCTCGATGCTTTCTGTACTGCCGGTAAGTAGACTCCTCTTTTGTGGGCCTGCTTATGATACAAAGCAGGCAGAGAGAGGTAAGTTGTCGTGTGCAGATATAGGTATTTCTATATGTATTGAGCGTGCGAAGAGGATGAGCAAGTAGACGCGAGCGAATAAGACGAATTCTAGTATTGGGGAAATTTTAAATGTTATTATTGTCCAAAATAAATTTCCTCCGACCAGCTATTTCCATCGTGACGAGTGCAGTCCGCTTCCATCTCGGCCTCCTTTAGGCCAATGCCGCGGTGGTTAACCCATATGTAATCTACTTGACCTATCCATACTTCTACGGGGGCAGGTTGCTCGGAAATATGATATATCAAACCGTGCTGCAGAGCGTTGCACGACGAAATACGGGGGCACGCCCCCATCAGCAATTCAAGATGTCGGGAATCGGGATGAGGGGCTCGTCCCGATTGGCAGTAGGGTATAAGGCGGTATAGAATTTGGTGGCATGACATTGGATGTGGCCCCAGACCGATCACCGCTTCCTCTTGCCTGGGTTTTTTCTTGACCCCCTTACCTACCTAACTAACTAGTACTTAAGTAGTTAGGTAAGTAGTCAGCAGAAGAGTGGTCGAATTTTTCTTGATCCCTCAAAGCAAACGTTGTCACTGTATCCGACACTGGTACCCATACACAAAAGCAGACAATCATCGAGTATCACAGCTCAGTTCTAGCCTTTTCTTTTCTGATCCTTGTACACGAATAAATTTCTTCCCTTTCCAAACAATCTTGGGTTTTTCCTCCCGGCAACTCATCGTATTGTTTGTTCCTCACCTTTGCTCGATCAGCAGCTACGAGACCATGCCACAAACTCTAAGACCGCTCGACTACGGGTGCACGGATTGGCGGATCAGTAGCCAAAGAGTCGCAGATCTGTACAGTTCTGGTACCAGGCTTTGGACGAAAGAAGATCTCGAAAATATAGAACAACAATTGCGCCAATCCTATGCAATGGAGCGATTTTCAGTCCGTCGAATCGATGGAAGCATAATCCAAATTTCCAATCCCATGTTCCAAGTACAGAATCCTATCTGGTACGTGGGTATGGTCTTCTGACCCAATTTGAGCCTGAAATCTAAGTTTTCCTTAGGAAACCCCATGTCAAGTACCAAGAATATTGGCAACTTGTGAAAGCACAACCCAACGGCCCACATGAAACTTACCTGTGCTCTTACATTGTGGATTGGAGCAATCAGACTGCACGAAACTTCCGAGAGCTTATAGCACAGCCTATGCAAGTCTTTGACGAGAAACACTTGTTGTGGCAGAATAGCAAGACCTGCAAGCACTTGGCAGCCTTGGTCCAAGATATACTCGGTAAAAACACTGTGAAGAAAGTTCTCTGCTTCGGGCTCGGTGATTTTTGCCGCTCCGCGCCTGAATGGCTAAAAAGGCAGCACGGCTCTTGGGATGAGAGCTCTGAGGTGAAAAATGTTATGGGTTGCATGATCCAGCATTCGATGGCTCTCACTATCGCTCAACTTTGTCGTGGCAATAAAACATTGCCATTACTTGCTCAGGACCCAGATTATACAGAGGTCGCGGAAGAGATCCTGACCAAGAAGGAGTTCAAGATTGTTGGAACTCACGGTGCAGGAGGATTCGCGGAAATTGACGAGGAATCGATCATAATATCACCCTTTGCTGCCGCCCCAGTGAAGCAGATTATCGCCGACCTTGCTCGGCCTGTGCTCATTATTTCCACCGGCTTTGAAGTCTTCAATGGCAATGAGTAAGTTCGCTTTTATCGATCCTCGGATTTGTCTAACCATTGCACTTCACAGAAAACCATTGGCAGATGCTGAATCTCCGAGAACAAGGCAAATGTGGCTGGATTATGATGCCTATAGCCTTCCAAGCCATTCTGATGACGTTGAAATATGCTCTGCACTGAAAGGACTACATTTGTATTGTAGACGCCAGCAACCTCTGGATTCGCAAGGAGCCTAAGTTCACGTAATTTTATATCTAGTGACGGTGGAACTCAAACGATCACAAATATGAGATGAATTTCAGAACGGGAATCTTATGTATATGTATAATTCCCGCTACTTGGTTTCTCCCATCTCTTATGCGCTGCGGTGGATTTCGTAAACCGTTTCAGGAGAGCCCGCGGAGTCATTATTCAGGAGAATTTTTACGACTGGTTGTTGGTCAAGCAGCTTCAGTGACAGTTCAAAAATTGCAGCTATTCACTCTCCCGCCTCCGATCATTCAGTCCTTTTTCTTGGAGCAATTGCAGCAAGAAGGACAAGCCCCACAATCTCCGTGGACCATGCCCTTCTCCTGTCCGCAGGTGCAACATTTGATCGCGTCCACGGGATGGGTTATGTCGGATTCGGAAGTCATGATGGAGGCGGGGACTATACATGTATTAGTTGGGAGACCACCGGTCTGCAATAGAGGGCACGTGTACTGTACTTGTAAGGACTCTGGCAATTAGGTATATGCTTGAGAGAAGCGGTTCAGAGAAGTGGTTTTCAACGATCAAGGTTTGAGAATCCAAATCCAATAGAGACCGTGCAGAGTAGGTAGTCTGTTGACCAGATATTATAGGAAACAAAGCCACGAGAGTGATTCTTGAGAAATTCAAGAGACAATCGTTACTTTCGCACTCTCTTTATACAACAAGATAGCGGGGTAATAGACATGACAGGTCACCTGGGCATAACATCAGGCGAGTTCATTATATTAAGTGTAGTGTTGTGAGCATCAGATTGTTTTTGACGGGTCTGTAATGCATATGGGATTACTGAGGCTGCCTCCCCGTAAACT